GTGTGTGTGTGTGTGTGTGTGTGTGTGCCTGCTGCCCCCAGTGCAAAGCTTTGGAACCTCCACAGGTTACCCAATCCGTTCAAATGTGACCACCGTTGGGCAAGTCCGAAATGTAATAGATTACATCCTGCCCGTTAATGTTACTTGGATTACTTATTTGGATAAAAGAAACGCACCAAAAGAATATCTATCAACGGTCGCCGTTTCTGCAGAGCCGAGAGAATGTATGCCTGTCAGTAATGCTGCTGTTTGTATGCGTTGAAGATTTGTAACTGCCATGACAGCGACGCCAATTCCAATGAGGCAGCCTCTAGCGCCTCGTATGTTAGCGTTGAGCGAGCGGCTATTTGTTCGAGGAAATGATTTTGTGTGATTGAATATACTATTGTTTAAATGTAAAATGTGAATTTGTTGGTATGTGTCAATATTACAGTAAACTTCAATTGGGAAAGACAAAGCGTGAACTTTTTTAATCACGGTATACCTCATTCGAAAAAAAAAATCAATGGTGTGAAAAGGGTCTTTACAGGGGAGAATCTTGTCAGATTTTGGACTAAAAACACTATTCCTGTCAGACTGGTGTAAAAATTTTATTTATTTCTTTATTTATTTGACAGATAATTGTGGTGCACGTGACATCGCCAACTACTGGCCTGGCATGCACATTGCAGTATTTTCAGTCCTTTTTGAGGCTCCATCTGAATTTGCATCATTTGGTCATTGTTTACTCAATTTGGTTGGCATGTACAACATGTAGGCTAGATTAAAAAGGACATGTCATAATATTCTTTCGAAAAAAAAAAAAAGAATTTGATGTGAAAAGTAAGCTTTTTGTGGTAAGATACCAGCCGCGGGCCACATTTGTTCAAATGGCGTCTGTCATTTTCTGCAGTGTGGGGGGTCGCTCAGGCGAAGTGACACCGATTTTATGGTCAATAGTCCCATCCAGATGTGGTTCGGTGCCATTTTGCGCAACATTTCCGACTAAATTCTTGTGGCAACATACTTGATACAATCAGGGAAAGCAATTCATCATTGTTTCACAGGCTCAAGCAAGCAAGCCGAGAGGGTGAAAGGGGGAAGGAGGGCGGGAGAGAGAGGTGGGGAGTGGGGTCTCCAAACATCCTTGCGTCCTCCATCACACTTTCCTTTCAATCTGTGAACATATTCATGTTGTTGATTTGTTCCCTTTCCAAGAATATGTGAGTGTCTCGCCGCTCTTCTTCACGTCTTTCATGTTTTTCGCAGCCCCACCACGCAAATCCGACTATATCTGTGGGCCCTTTGTAATTATTTCTCCTTCTAAATTCATAAAACATGTTCAGCTCAAGCCCCATGACAAATACACAAATGCGCGCGCGCACACACACACACACACACACACACACACACACACACACACACACACACACACACACACATTCATATACATATAGAGTATATAATTTGTGTCCTGTTTGTAATTATCAATCCATTTGGGGATTTGAAGACTTTCTGCATGGAGCTTAAAAAGGCTTGTTGTTCTCTTCCGACAAAACCACATCTGAACACACAC